GTGTGTGTGTGTGTGTGTGTGTGTGTGTGTGTGTGTGTGTGTCTGTGCGTGTCTGTGTCTATGTCTGTGTCTGTGCGTGTTCGTGTCTGTGTCTGTGTCTGTGTGTGTGTGTGTGTCTGTCTGTGCGTGTCTGTGTCTATGTCTGTGTCTGTGTCTGTGCGCGTCTGTGTCTGTGTGTGTGTGTGTAGATGCGGTGGACGTGGCGGTGCGTGTGGCTCAGTACATCAGCGGAGCGGCTCTCACACACCAGCTGCCCATCGCTGAGGCCATGCTGACCTGCAAACACAGAACGTACGGCTCTGTCTCTCATTACAGCTGCACATCATTCACTGCTCTACACACAACTCACTTATCACTTCCTCTTACAGGAGAGATGAAGATTCCTATCAGAAATTCATTCCCTTCATTGGGGTGAGTAGGAAGAGGAATCACTTGTTGGTGGTGGGATTGCACCCATATGTATTTCTTACTAGGCATAATATTGCATTTTGCATTAATAAAAATACATTAGACAATGACATTTTGAGTTTTTTTTTTTTTTTGCAAACAGCATGAATGTCACTCAAAGTATTTTATATTATGTATCACGTTTTATAATAAATGACTTTTAACTTTTTTAGAAAAGTACTTTTTTTTTGGTTTGTAATATTTGTAATTTCATTTTTTACCTTTTATCTTTTTATTTTATTAATCCTTTTTTATATATATTTTTTTTATTGTAATATTTTATGTCGTTTACTTTTATTATTTTATTTTATACACCCATAAGTATTTCTTACTATCCATAATATTGCATTTTGCATTGTATGTATTTAAATACATGTATATTTGTCCTATGAAAATGACTTTATTCAGTGTTTTGGGCTTAAATATTTTTTTGCAAACAGCACAAATATAACTCAAAGCTTAATATATAATCATGTATTGTAATAAACGAACCTTATAAAAAAGTACCCTTTTGAGAGATAATATATGCTTCTGGTATTTATTTCCACTTTTTTATCTTTTTGTTTTAGTAATCTTTTTTTATTCATCTATATGTATAATATTGCATTTTGCATTGATTAATTAAAATGCGTGTATAAGCCCTATGACAAAGAAATTCAGAGTTGCTGCCTTATTTATTGATTGCTTTGTCACTGAAAGCATCATATACTGTTTTACAATATGTCATGTATTATAATAAAGTAAATTACTTTTTTGAGGGGTAATATGTGCCCCTAGAATTTATTTCAATTATTTTACCTTTTATATTTTTATTTTAGTAATCTTTTTTTATATTTTATTCTATGTCCTTTTCTATGTCTGTCTGTCTATCTCATTTTTGCTTTATATATTTATTGCAAACAGCTCAAGTGTCACTTAAAGCTCCATATGTTGTTTATCATGTATTGTATCACTTTTTTGAGGAGTAATATTGTATTGTATATTCTGTCTGTGTGTCTCTCTATTTATTTGTTATGATCGTCTCACAGGTGGTGAAAGTGGGTTTGATTGAGCCTGGCCAATCAGCAGCAGGTGTGTTTCCATAGCGACTGAAGCGCTGATTGCTTGTAATAGCTCCGAGTGTGACATCGGCGCAGACGCTCACCGTGTGTCCGTCTCTGTTTCACAGGCGACTCTGAAGAGGGCGTGGCTGTGAGTTTAGCCGTCCCCTCCAAGTCTCCGCCCTCTCACGGCTCACCCGGTGGGCTGAAGGAGACGGCCACGCCCCCCTCGTCTCCCTCCATGGGCGGCGGTTTGGCAGTGCAGGGGTGAGTGACTTCAGGATCAGCTCATTGTTGAGGGAATTTCTAGCGTCACAAGGTTTCACGAATGACTTGCTAATCCTGCTGGAGCAAGCAGGTCGTGCGGAATAAAGCAGCTCGGGCTGGTTTGAGCTGGTTTTTGCTGATCCAAGGTGGTCTACCTGCTCAGTACCCACCACCTGGAAGTCCAGCTGATCGACTGTTAAACCCAGTAGAAACCATGTGAAACCAGCTTTGTCACCATTTAGCTGCAGTTTTTGGTGGTTCAACCTCTTAATATACAATTATATATAATATGTGACCCTGGACCACAAAACCAGTCATAAGGGTCCATTTTTAAAAATTGAGATTTATACATCATCTGAAAGCTGAATAAATTAAATAAATAAGCTTTCCATTGATGTATGGTTTGTTATGATAGGACAATATTTGGCCGAGATACAACTATGTGAAAATCTGGAATCTGAGGGTGCAAAAAAATCTAAATATTGAGAAAATCATCTTTAAAGTTGTCCAAATGAAGTTCTTAGCAATGCATATTACTAATCAAAAATTAAGTTTTGATATATTTACAGTAGGAGATTTACAAAATATCTTCATGGAGCATGATCTTTACTTAATATCCTAATGATTTTTGGCATAAAAGAAAAATCGATAATTTTGACCCATACAATGTATTGTTGGCTATTGCTACAAATATACCCCAGCGACTTATGACTGCTTTTGTGCTCCAGGGTCACAAATATATGTACTAGTATTATTAATATTTTGAATTAGCTTTTATTTTTTATATTTTTAATTGTCATTTAAATTTTGGCTTATATTTTTTCTTTTTTATTGGTATTTGTATTTTAATTATTTTCTTTGTAATATTTATATTCAGCATTCATTTATTTATTTCTGTTTTTGTTTTAGTAAATAAAACTAAAACAATTTCTGAGCAATTTCTGGCTACTATAATGTGATTTCTATTGATTTAATTCTCATTTGATTTTCATTTTTTGTTTTGAACAAAGCACAATATAAAACAAAATATACAAACACAACAAATGTGTTGCAACACCAAAGAAAACCCACGTCCATAAGACGGTGTACATTACAAAATGTCCGAAAAGGAGCGGGATGAAGCAAAATCCTATTATTTTTCCCACTCCATATTCAATTCTATAACGTTCCAGTATATCTTTTAATATATTATATTGCATCTGTATCTATATATTTTTATATATTCCTTACAATATAACAAATTCACAACAAATTGAACACCAACCAAATGTTTGTTTGTTTTTATCGTAAATAACCTGTCACCCTATTATCACCCATCCTAATGCAATCAACATTATAACCCCCATTCACAATCACCTCTATACGTGTTTTATACAACATTTTACAACATTTAAATTCTTATTGATGTGATGATTATTTAATTTTTTCCCATGAAAGTAGCCTATTGTTTATATACTATTATAGCATTTATTAATAATTTAACTTAGCTTTTATTTTTATATTCATTTTTTTATTTTTATTTTAGTTTATAGTTTTAATCATTTAGTTTTTTGTCATTTTGATTATTTTTAATATTTAAATTTAGCAGTAGTTTATTTCAGTTTAAGTTTTTGTAATATTAGTATACTTCAACTTAAACTTTTACTAATGTTCAACCTTTTTAGAAGAACAACATGGTATGTGTAGATATTATAACTAGGGATGAACGATATTGGATTTTTGCCGATATCCGATATGCCGATAATTTTCAACTCATTTTGGCCGATAACCGATGTATGTAATATTATGGCTATATACCTATATAGAATTATTTTTAATTTTGGTTTGTTTTTAACAATAACTTATTTGTTAGAATTAAATAAACAATAATAAAGTTATTTTATAATGACAGTACATTGAATATTTGAAAATAACTATAAATAAAAAGGGGCAAGTTTTTTTTTTAATAAAGACTAGAATTAGAATAGAGAGTGCTAGAGTTAGAGGGTCAAATAAAGATGGAAGAGATGTGTTTTTAGTCATTTCTTGAAGATGGTTAAGGACTCAGCTGCTGGGATTGAGTTGGGCAGGTCATTCCACCAGGAGGGAACAGTTAATGAAAAAGTCTCTGAAAGTGATTTTGTGCTTGTTTGGGATGAACAATAAAGCGACGTTCACTTGCAGAACGCAAGCTTCTAGAGGCACATAAGTCTGAAGTAATGAATTCCAATTGATTGAAAACTGAAAAAAAAAAAATTGTATTTTGCATTTTTCATTTTAAAGTTCTGTGTTAAATGTCTGACCAAATAGCCATTAAGTTAATTTATCACAGTGGGAATTGGTTTTTGTGTTTAATGCTGTGTGCTTTGCAGCGTTATTTTATTTATTATTTATTATCATATTATAACGTTATTTAGAATTAGCTTTTATTTTTATATTTACTTTTAATTTTAGATTATAGTTTGTCATTTTGCGTTATGTTTCATTTTTTAAAATGATTTTTTATTATATTTCTATTTAGCTTTAGTTTAAATGTATTTCAGTTTTAAGTTTAGTAATGTTAGTACTTTTATTGGTGGTCCAACCTTTTAAGAAGAATAAAATGCTTCAAAACTGCATATTCCTGCACTTTTAATGTAGAAATGTAACAATCAGAGAGAAATCTAGCAATGCAGAACACAACTGTGTAAGTGTCTGGCTCCGCTGCTGTGTTGTGATGTGATGTGTCTGTCTCAGGAGTCCCAGCTTGTCTCACGGCGGGGACGCCATCGGTCTGCAGGTGGATTACTGGCTGGCGTCTCTGGCGGAGAAGCGTCGCGAGGGCGAGAGGAGAGACACCGGCTGTAAGAACACTCTGAAGAGTGCCTTCTGGTCGCTGCAGGTCAGCCGTCTGCCAGGAGGAGGAGCCAGCGAGCCGCAGGCACCCGGCAACACTATGGCCATGACCGTGGTCACCAAAGAGAAGAACAAGAAAGGTGAGCAGACCGTCATGAAACATGCAAAATGATACGATGGACGTTCAAAGCATCCAGAAGATCCATGTTGGCTTAGAAATAAATCTGTTTGACAAACTGTAATTTGATGTAGTAAAAGTTATATTTAATGTACAGGACAGTATTTTTTATGTCATGAAACACAAAAATAGTAGATGGCAAAATAAGTGAGAAGAAAATTAATTACACCAATCCAATACTGAACATAAAAAATTAAATCAAATAAAAGTAAAAAGAAAGTTATATATCAGGCATACTTAAGTCCAGAGTAGTAGTAGTAGAATAAAAATATTAAAACAACTAAATTACAAAAGGAAAATGGCCAACAGAAAATGAATGAATAAATTAAAAATAATCCAAAGATTAAACTGTAAACTATATAAAAAAAGCTAGTACACATTATACAATTATATATTTAAAAATTATATAATTATACACATTATATAAGTGTATAAACTGTATATCATAACATATGTCCAAAAAAATAATAGAAATGACAGAAGTTTACAAATAAAAATAAAATGTACACAGGTATTTGAACACTTCCGTTCAAAAGTTCAATATTTTTGAAAGAATTCCCTACTAACCATTTATTTGATCAAAAATACAGTAAAAACACTAAAATTGTGAAATATCATTAGAATTTAAAATAGCTGTTTTCTATTTGAATATATATTAAAATGTAATTTATTCCTGTGATGCAAAGCTGAATTTTCAGCATCATTACTCCAGTCTTCAGTGTCACATGATCTTCAGAAATCATTCTAATATTCCGATTTGCTGCTCAAGACACATTTATCCATGTTGAAAACAGTTGTGCTGCTTTATATTATTGTGGAAACTGTGATACATTTTATTTTTCAGGACTCTTTGATGAATAGAAAGTAAAAAAAAAAAAACAGCATTTACCTGAAATAGAAATATTTTGTCAAATTATAAATGTCTTTACTGTCACTTTCTATCAATTTAATGCATCCATGCTCAAGAAAAGTAGTAAAGAACGCACTGACCCCAAACTTTTGAACAGTAGTGTAAATTATACCCCAGCGACTTAAGACTGCTTTTGTGCTCCAGGGTCACATATTAAGCAAAGAATCAGTACCACTTTATATATGAGTATAATATTACAATATGAATAATGTCTCTCTCGCTTTCTTTGTGCAGTTCCCACTATTTTCCTGGGGAAGAAGCCTAATTTTGTCAAATTATAAATGTCTTTACTGTCACTTTCTATCAATTTAATGCATCCATGCTCAAGAAAAGTAGTAAAGAACGCACTGACCCCAAACTTTTGAACAGTAGTGTAAATTAAAGTAATATATGTGACCCTGGACCACAAAACCAGTCTTAAGTGTCAATTTTTCGAAATATAATATTACAATATGAATAATGTCTCTCTCGCTTTCTTTGTGCAGTTCCCACTATTTTCCTAGGGAAGAAGCCTAAAGAGCGGGAGATGGACTCTAAGAGTCAGGTGATCGAGGGCATCAGCCGGCTCATCTGCTCCGCCAAACAGCAGCAGACCATCCTGAAAGGTACCAGACCTTCATCACAGCCAGAAAAACGCTTTCTTGTCAGCTAAAGCAGAAAACAACATTTATCTTCCTCCTTTCTCAGTCACCATCGACGGATGCGAGTGGAACGACGTGAAGTTCTTCCAGCTAGCTGCTCAGTGGCCGACTCACGTCAAGTATCTCCCGGTGGGATTGTTCGGCTACAGCAAACCGCCCTCCTAGGACTCCCCACTTTCTCAGCCCCGCCCCTTCAACCTGCAACCTACACCCCATTGCACGCCACCGCCACTTTCACAACGCTGGCCAATCACAGTTGAGACGGGACTCTCATGTGACCGTCTCTGGAGGGCGGGTAGGTGGAGTTGAAGACGGCTTTGATAGACTTTTATCAGCGCTAGTCACTTTTATTTATCAAAGGCCCCAGAGCCACATATGGGGGCCAAGCACAAAATTTGGATACACCACCTGTCGAAGACTATTTAACAGCATGACGCCGCTTAAATCACTCTCAACAACCCTCAATAAGTCCCTTTGCGTAACTGATCTCTTCCATCATTGACCTCCATAACCAGTATAATTGAGAAATGCAGCTAAAATCTACCATGGTAACTGTATTTGGAGATAAACTTGCAGTTATTGTCACTCAAGTAAAATCAGCTTTCGGAATCTTTCTGTTACTTAGCAACTAGGGAATTTTGGCAGAAACCATGGTTGCCATGGTAGTTTTTTGTGAACAGAGATTCAAACATGAAAAATGCGCCAATGAATATTCCGAAATTAGCTAATTTCTCGCCTGTAGTACGAAGGCGGAGTTAAACGCCAATTTGACATTGGAGGCGGGGCTACGAGGTGCCCATCGGCCAACTGAGGAGTTTTTAGATTTCCTAAAAATCATCGTTTGCATAGTTTGTTTTATCCTTCCAGTCAGCAACATCTGGAAATGCGTTGTTGACCTCCAACCTGCATGTCTTAAAAAAAAGTTAACATTTAATGTTAGTTCAGTAGTGCACTGTGTACTTGTGCACAAATCGCTTTGCATGATGCAGCGGTGTCTCACGTTCCCCTTGACACACGGAAGGTTAGTAGTTCGCATTGGTTAATTCTGTTAATTAGAATAAACAATTTCAATTTAGTTTTATATTCGTTTTTAAACGTGGTTTTATGTGTCAGTTATTGTTTATTTTTAAAAGTGACCTTTTAGCTTAAATATGTAGCTCATCTACAGGTTTTATTTCATTTCATAAAACATCTCCAAAGATCTCTGGCCAATCAGAATGTAAACATTACGGCACAGAATGAGTAAGTCACCTTTATAATACGGGCAACGGCAAACTCGATTTATGAAAGAACTAGGTCGTATCAATCAGCACAAGGCCTAACGTAAAGGCTGCACGAGGTTGGAGGTGAAAATGTCAGCGATTAAGCCAGCAGAATTGGGGAAGATGTAGTTTTATTGCTGTTTTTGGTTCTTGTTTGCATCTTTACAGCTGGAAACCGGTTTGGGGAGAACTACAAGGGTTTCATCTTCATCAGTTGTCAAATGCTATGCACTTAAACTCACCTTCATTTCTTCATATCTTCGTCCAAAGCACAAAAAGCGATCAGCTCCTCATACAGAATGCCAAATTAAAACACGATTCGCAAACACTACCTTTACACACTGCAAACACATGATTTTCTTATTTTATTCTTATTTTGTTTTTGTCTTTTCCAGTACAAATATCTAAACAATCTTAAATCAAGATACATTTACTTGAGAAGCAAAATGACTTAAGATGTACTGAATTTTGATAATTTCTCAAAAAACAGTGCTTAATATCTTAAATCATTTGACTTTATCTTGATTTAAGAAGGTTTGGCTATTTGAAAACACTATAAAATACAAACTAGGACAAAAATACTGCGAGAATCATTTTTTGCAGTGCAGCTGTGAACAAAACGTCTGAACTGATCAGTAAATCTTGAGCTACAACATCCCTTTATTTTCTAGCTGGAGCTTGTTACATTACTGCTAATGGCAGCTTTCACAGAAGTACCGTGGTTTTATTTTGTCTAGAACTTTTGTGAGATATTCTTGTGAGTGGTAGGTAATGCAACAAAATGTCACTGAAATGTGGTTTTAAAATGATAACAAAACAAACAACAAAAAAGCTATCTATGAAATGGTGTTGTGCCACAGTGAGAGTGAAGCCAGTGTGTAGTGCGCGTGTGTTTGTGTGAGTGTGTGTGTGTGTTGTGGACAGTAGTGCTCACTGGTTTAATTAATCTGGTGTTAACTGTACGTTCTTCACGACACAAGATTCGGCGTCTTTCCACCCAGCCGACTTATATCCATTGCAGCTTGAAATGCTGATAAATTATTAATATACAATGATTGTTACATGATTAACCTGTTGAACTCCTAATATTGTTTTTCAAACTGAAAGAGTGAATCTCACAAAAACCCGTAAAGAAATGTCATATTTCACAACAAAATCAAAAGAAAGAAATAAGATTTGCTTAAAGAAAATTCAGCCAAATTTAGGAACATTTAGGATTTTGCTTTGTGACATGATTGGTATAATTTTATTACAGTAATTTTAAAGTTTTTTTAATTGCATACATCATGGTAGCATTTGTTGCAATTCTGTTCATTTAGGCTGATTTCTAATACAAATATTTGCATTACAGTCATTTTTACAATAATTTTAATATAATTATTATTTTGTTTGTTGAGGTGATATATGAGCTGGATGTGAGATTCACCCTAAATCTTTCTAATCGGAGTCATGTTTTCTGGAATGAAGGTATCAGTTTTTCTGTGGTTAAAAGTATTAAGAACAACAAAGTATTAAAGTCACGATGGGTCAATTAGATTTTTATTTGTTCCTGCTTCTTACAGAGAATGTTTAGCAGTAGTTTTGAAGTGTGAGTGTCTTTCTTTTGTGTATATTAAATGCATCTCGCCTTTTTTTGCCCATATTCTTAGAAAAGAGTGAAAACATAATTTCTTTGAGTTAATGTTGGTTATCAGTACCACACTATTAAACAAATATCCACACATTAATAATTTGTCTATAGCAGATAAGTTCTTAATATGTTTTTATATAGCTGCTGCATAAATTGCATTTTTTATTTTATGAATATCTTTGTGATTTAAATCCTATAAGGCTCATAGAAAGATGCATACTGTGGCTGTCATGAGAGCTGCAAGTTATGTCAGAAAGGCTTTTAATATTTCAGTCAGCGATTGTGTCTAGAGGGTTTTGCACAGTCCTGTTGAGGCTTTGATCATTCCTCATTGGATCTGAACATCATAAATGATTTAGAGGGTCGGCATGTTCACCAAAGCTTAGAAACCTTCTAGAAAAGACCCCCTATAGATGTGGAGCATATAAAGAGAAAAACCCACGCTGAATATTAATTCAAACCAGTTAAAATGTCTGTACTGTTGTTACACTTGCGGTCCGTGTTTTAAGCTTGCATGATGAGCAAACGCGCAAAAACTTGCAGCAACTTTCACACACAAACACACACAATTAATGGCAACTATTTCGGAGTCCAGGTTAAAATTTTATATGGATATGTATAGAATGGAAAAAAGGAGGGGCAAAAAAAAAAAAGAATCACTGCCAAAGAGTGTCAACTGTTACATTTTGTTTTGTTTGTTTGTGTTTTTGTATGTATGGAAAATGATTTTCAGTATTTATGGAGCAGTCTGGAATGGGAATGGAAAGTACCGAATTTTGAAATCGATTCATTTCAATATGAAAAGAAAGAGTTTTCAACAACTACTAATTTCCGTTCCGTCACTCGAACATGGACTGTCTCTTTATGTGTGTGCCGTGTGGAGTCTGGTCTTTGCCTGTCTTCGTACCTCTGTATGTACTTGTGTTGATTTGTCATGTGAAACTTCGACAACATGAAGTGGATTTGAACATTCTGATTGGTCGACTAATTATCCTAACGGCAAATCAGAATGGCGCTCGTCCCCTTCAAATACTTTTTGTCAATGTAATCTGTTGGAGAGATAAAATGCCTAAATTCCACAAGCTTCGGATTCAAACCGGCCAAATTTAGCCTGCTGTGTAAAGTAAATCATTGCGTAATATTTGGTCGTGGAAGATCAAGAACCGAGCTTGTGGATGAGATAAGTATTTTTGCACATGCATTTGTTATCTTTTAGCAGTCTTCAGCTCTTTGCCTTTTTGCCTTTAGACAAAAACGCTTGTACATATCCAAAGTGCTTGTAATATGAACTCATGTTCCTTTATTGTGTGCTATTTTTTTATTTGACATGTTTTTGTAGTACTGCTTTTTCATAATTGAGTTGTCAATCAATAGATGTGGTATGGACAGTGGAAGTGTTACTTGTATTCTTTTTTTATTTAATAAACACCTGATTTGTAAATTCTCTTGTGTAGTTTGTGGATTTTTAGCACAGCAAAATAAGTGTAACTGTTATTTGTGGAACTATTATTTGTCACTTGCATTGCTCTGCCATAGATATGTTAATATACAGATTAAATATTTTCTGACAGATTTAACGCTCTACATTTACATTTAGTCATTTAGCAGACGCTTTTATCCAAAGCGACTTACAAATGAGGACAATAAAAGCAGTCAAAACTAACAAAAGAGCAACAATATATAAGTGCAAATGACAAGTCTCGGTTAGCCTAACGCAGTACATGTAGCAAGGTGTAAATATATACATATATA